CAGGATCACATGGGTTTGTCATATTGATGACATGGTTGGTAACAGCTGTAACATGCTCTTCACCCCTCTTCAGGGCAGAGACAAGGACTTGTTTGTGGACTTTGTCTTCACTACTTTTTGTTAGGCCACTTGTTTCTCTCATAGCGTTTGCATATTCATAACATAAATGTGTATTGTCATCTCCAACACTTATACTGACTTGTGCATGAGTGTCACTGAACTCAAAAGCTAGTTTCTAGAACATTTCAAAGGCTAGTACTTCATGCATAGGTCACTGAAAAATTAAAACCTTCTGCCAGGCAGACTAGATGCTACGATGTATGTGACTATGTCTACACTGTGCACCTTACAATGGCGCAGCTGTGCCGCTGTTACCATGCCATTGTAAGGTGTAGCCGATCTTCATCTCCGGCAGAGAGCTTTCTCGGCAACAAAATAAAACCACCTCCAACAAGGAGCAGTAGGTTCATTGCTGGGAGCGCGGCTCACGCTGCTGAAGCACTGTCCACACTGGCACTTTTAGTCGCTAAAACTTTTGTCGTTCGCGTGTGTGGGTGTGGGTGTGTTTTTTCACCCCCCTGCGTGACAAAAGTTTTAACGATGAAAGTGCTAGTGTGGACATAACCTGTATGTACAAAAGCTTACACATGGAAAAGCATTGCATTAGGAATTCACATACTTTTATATCTCCCTGTTGTGCTATACAAACCATGGGCATGCAATCTACTGCTACTCAGTGAGAGACTGATCTGGCGAGCAAATTTCAACTGAAAATGATAAACGATTATTATAATCACTTGTGAGATACTTTGACAATGAAGAGATGTGAATATACTGCAAAATGTTGATGTTGGCTGTCTTTCCCACAGGCTAAACAGCGTCATCATCTCTGAAAGAAACAAAACTTGCCTATGCAAAACCAATAAACATCTTTTAATACATTGGCAGTAGGTAGTTTTGATCAGTAAACCCCACTTTTGAGGCACTGAAGTTAACTCAAACAGTACACACGGTATTCATGCTCCAGTTGCAATGTTTTTGGAGCTGTGCAGAAAACTTTCTCATTGTGGGTCCCATTGTTTCACCTCAGCTACAGCACCACTTGACAGCTCAACTCTATACCTCATCTAAACCCACTTAAAATAAGCTTTAAAATGATATCTGATGGGGGGGAATGTAAGGAGGGTTTTTTTTTTTGAGAATTGCTGCATGGTTCCAGTTCTTGGTGCCATCCCCACATGGCCAGGGATTCAGCGCTTTCTTTGGGGACGATGGGATGCAGAATTGGATAGGCGCAGGGCTCATTCTTCACCTGCTGCTGGGGGAAGAGCGGGGCCAGCGCTTTGAAGAACAGAGCAGTGTGGTGGGAAAGAACTTCGTGATACAAGATCTGAAATGCCATCTTGGGGCAATCTCTGACCAAACAGGCCTTGCTGGGGAGGCAACCCCTAGACCCCCACCCCCACCCCGATGCACCTGCAGACACTTTCTGGACCTGCAGGGATAAAGGGCAAGGAAGCTGGGTATAACTACCCAGCATGGGATCAGGCCAGGCTGCATTGTGTTAGGGAATTCAATGTGACGTGGGAGCTGCAATAACTGCAAAAGGTCAGGACTCGGGTTTCACGCATGTGAGACGTGTGCTAATGTCTTCTGCCGACGGGTGGCAGCAGGCACCTAGACATTCTCGCCCCGGCTGCACTGAACGGTAAGGTGGCTGGGTTAGGCTCCTTACTGTGTAAGGCTACGGGCTCTGTGATCCAGATTAGGCTCTCTGATCTCTACAACCAGGGGTGGCTGGGCAGGGCTGGAGTGCTGTGGTGGGAAAATGCATGAATGCTTCAGTGCCAGTGCAATACTAGCAATGCCCAGGGTTAGCCCACGGCTCCCAGCGCTCTGCTGGGGAGAAGGATGTGTCTGGCCCTTGCTCTATTCATCCAGCCACCTCCCCTGGTCCTGCTGATATTCCTCTCTGGAACCATGGCTACAGGCACTGTGGTCCTCACTGGGGATTGAACCCAGGACTTTCAGCACCAAAAGCACATGACTTACCCCTGGAGTGAACAGAGCTCCTAGGGCTGTGAGCATGTAACAGGCTAATCCAGCCGTGGGGGCCAGATGCTAGAAGGCGACATGATCACGCTCACTAAGTCAGTGTATTGCACTGAGATGGCAGAGCCCCTCACTAGCTGCTTCTCTGTCTAGTGGTGCCCACACTGCTAGGTCTGCAGAGCCCTGAGCATAGGCATTGTGTGGGGGGCAGGTGCTCCTGTCCGGGCTAGTTGATTGTTGCTGTCCCATTGGTGCTCAGCTCCCAGGTGGTAGGAGCAGAGAGACCCTTTTACAGGTGCCCATCAGTCACTCTGGGGATTGTGGCAGGGTCCAAGCAGGCAGCTCTCATCAACCTTTCCCAGTCTGGGACCCCTCCTCCTATTCAGCAATATGGGAAAGGCAGAATGGTCATGACCCCCAGGTTGACAGGGGACAGACAGCAGTTGGATAGGCATGGGAATCTCAGGGGTTTGTCAGGGGACAGGTAGGGGGTGGGGTCCTAGGGTGGAAGTTAGGAGGGGTCTCAGGAGGGGGCAGTTGGGGACAAGGACCAGTGGGACTTAGATAGGGGGTTGGGTCCTGGGGGGCAATTGGGGCAGGGGTCCCGGGAGCGGATGATATGGGGACAGGGAGCAGGGGGGTTGGATGGGTTGGGGTTTCTGTGGGGGGCAGTCGGAGGGAGTGGATGGGAACAGGGTGGGGCTACCCCCCCTCCCCGTGGAGTGTCCTATTTTTTGAATGTTAAAATATGGTATCCCTGCCCTTCCCAGTGCAGCTCTCCATTCACAGCAGGCTGCAGCATGAGGACTCAGCTACCTCCCTCCCTCCCCCTTTCCTGTTGGTAGTGGCCAAGGGAATGCTGGGAAATGTAGTTCTTTCCCTGCTCCAGGGCTGGCTCTATAGGTAGGGAGCTAACCAACGAACTACAGCTCCCAGGGCCCCCTGTTGGTTCTCAGCTCCCATGCTGGACCCCTGCCGCCCCTGCAAATGGGCTGCCCCAAGCACGTGCTTGTTTTGCTGGTGCCTAGAGTCGCCCCTGGCCCTCGGGCACCTCTGCGTGTGTAACCTCTTCTCTGCTGGGTCGCTCGCTCTAGCCTGGTGGAATAGCACAACCTTGCTGTGTGAAAGTGGACCTGCAAAGCAGACCACAGCGCTTGCTCCAGCTCCCGGGTCTGTATCTAGGCGGCCTCATCATAGCTTGTCTCTGCTTGTCTCGTACATCTGGAAGGTCACCTCCACGTTCTCCTCTCTCTGCTGAAAGATCTTAGCAAGATATTTGGAGGACCTGACTAGCGAGGTCCCATGTGGCTACTGTAATGTGAGCTGCCGCCCTGCCTGCTCCAAGGGAAGAGGGACAGGGGATGCTGGTTCTTAGACAAGCCTCAACATCTGCTCCCCTCCAGCTGGGAGCCACATGTAAGCTTGGGGTTTTTTAACCCCTTTATGCACAGCTTCAAGGGAGCTAAGGTGACAGCAGTGGGTTGGAGTCGCCCACTCGCTACGCTAGGGGATCCTTTGCCTTGAGGCCAGGTACAGATGAGTCACAGCCCTAGTCTCCAGGCAGCTCCTGGGGCAAGGTATTCTTCTCACTGTGTTAATGACGCTCCCCCATGCTGGAAGAGCTCCCACCAGCACCAACCCAGTTCAGCTGTAGTGGTAGGAATACTCTGTGTCTCCCGGCACTGTAGACATGGCCTCAGTGTCTGTATCAAGGTGGGGGAGAGGGGAACGGTCAGGGTTTGAAGGGCCAAAGAAGATGCAAGGTGTCCAAAGGGGTTATAACTAGGAGTAATGGGAAGAAAGGGGGAGGCTGCATGGCGTAGGACGCCTGGGTTCTCTTCCCAGCTCAGCCACTGCCTTCCTGTGTGACCCTGGGCAAATCACATCCCTTCTCTTAAGTCTCTCCTTCCCCTCCGACCCTATGTCTGTTAGGTTGTGAGCTCTTCAAGGGACTGTCTTGCAATGTGTAGGTGCAATGCCTAGGGCAATGGGGCCCTGATCTAGACTCAGTTTTAATAATAAGGCAAATTTAGGCTCATTACAATGGCTTTTGGAATAATCCCCCAAGGGAAACCATGTTGGAGCCCTTGTGTAGATGGGGCCCACCAGCTGCTACCATTTTAAACACCATGTCAACTAACCTGGCTCAGAGCACGTCTAATTAACACAGTCCCCTACCCCCGCCCCCACTTCAGGCCACCTTCACCCATCGCAAAGAAGTAGGGGTACTGTACGTCCGGGTTTTCCCAGACGTCGCCTCTTCTTTGAGGCTCTGTCCTCTGTCCCGGCAGATTTTTTCAAATAACAGGAAATGCCTGGGATTTTTGCAGAGCAGACATTGGTTCGCTTCCCGATTGGTCCCTCCCCTGCATCCGCAGCTGATTGGTCCATTCCCCGGCAGCCACAGCTGCTGGATCCCACCTGCCCACCCAGGCCCCAGCTCCCAGCCCTGGGGAGGGGGTCCAGTGAGGCACTGACTGATGGCTGGCACTGCATCCTGGGTAGCCACCCTACCACTGTGATGGAGCAACACAACCCCCCACCTCCAGTGAGTACCCCCTGCTGCAGGTCCCCGCCCCCCCTCTCCCCTCCCCTCTGGCAGAATCCTCTTTTGGGGACCTGAGATATGGTAACTCTACAAAGAAGCAGAAACTGGGGGGCCACATTCCCATCATGTTGGAGAGAGGGGACTTACCTCTGTGCTGTGTGATGCTCTAGAAAGGATCTAATCTCAGTGTGTTTACACTGTGCCCATCACCATGGTATGTTGGCACCTATTTGGTTTTTGTGTGAAACCGGTCCTGTCAGGTCTGAAAAAAGAAAGGTCTGGCTGGAGAGTAACACTCCATTTCAGCAAAACACTTAACCAAGTTCCTGCTTGCTTTGCTGAACCAGGCCCCCTCAGAGGGCCGATAGGGCCGCTGTCAAACTTCTGTTTCTCTCTGCAGACTCAGCTAGGAGACCAATCAGCCAGCAGTCCCGCAGGGAAGCAACCAAAGGCTGGAACAACCATGCAGGAAGGTAGGACAATGAGATGGTTTGTGTTGTAACGACACCAGGTATTAACTGATCACAGTGCCTGCGTACCCTGTGCTGCAGAAGCGATTTGGGTCCATTCCCAGCACCTCCTGGGTCCAGTCTGAAGTTCTAAATCTCTATGGATGCATAACGTGGTTCGATACATGTCACAGCGGGGGTGTCTGGGGGGGCCTAGTGGATCAGTTCCATTCCACTGGGGGAACTTACACAATGCCTAGGATGACCAGACAGCAAGTGTGAAAAATCGGGATGGGAGTGGGGGGTAATAGGAGCCTATATAAGAAAAAGACCCAAAAATCAGGACTGTCCCTATAAAATCTGGTCACCCCAACAATGCCTGGGGGAGCTGCTCAATCCCTAGCTCTGTTGGGTGCTGCCAATCCTTTGCTTTTGGGAGCGTGATGGGGTTTGCAAACCCTACGCATTCCTGGGCAGGGTTAATGTATTGCTGGGAGCCTAATCAGCCCTACCTGCCACACCCGTAGTGTGTGTTAGGACGGAGGGGTGGGGCTAAAAAGGGGAATGCCGCTCAGCAGGGGGCTGGCGGGGAAGGAGCTCAGAGCAACAGACCTGTTGAGAGAGAGAAGCTGGGCTGGAATCCAGAGCTGAATAAATCTGATTCCTGATCAAGTTTCCCTGGAGGGGTTGTAGGCCCTGACAAGGAACCATTTGGATGTACCTGGGACCTGCTGGTGAATTTTAAGCTGAGCCATGGTAGAGGAAACAGGAGGAGGACAGAGAGCTCAACCCAGAGGGCAGATGGATGAATAACCCAAGGAGCTGAGGACTTACGCCCCATGTTTACGGGCAAAGACTCCTTTGTTTAGTGACTTTGCACTCTGCTACCCTGGAAGGGAATTGAACTTGTGTAGTGACTGGCCAGAAGGCTGAGCGACGTAAGCCACCAGAGTGGGCTGGAGACACTGTTGGGGAAACTGAGGCAGAGAGCCTGCAGCGCCATGTCTCACCACTAGGAGGCATCGATCCAGTCACAGGGAGTCTTTCGCAAATTAAAAGAAAACAGGTCTCTAGTGCATTGGGATGGGTCAGTGGCTGCTTATGGTGGGGCAAGCTCATTCTGGACACAGGCGTGCTTCAACCCTACGTGACGCTTGGGCCTACAGGGGCCCGCTGCATGGGGAAGGATCCATTAACAACACAGAGCTGTGTGGTGTCCATTTTAGTTCCATTTCATTGCTGTTTAAGGCTGTTCAACTTGCCTGTGTAGGATGATGGGCAAAGCTTGCCCTAGCTCTCCTAAGCTAAGCAGGGTTGGGACTGGTCTATACGTGGATGGGAGGCTTCTCTTCGCCAGCAGCTACAATGTGAAATTGCGTAATCCGGCCGAAACAATCCCACGCCCTGGTGTTGTTTGGATCTGTTTATTCCCGGCTGACGTGAAAGCCAGATCGAATCGTTAATGGTTCACGTGAGAGAGCCCTTTATCCCAAGCGCTGCCTGGCAAACAGGAATCAGGCCATCGCTGGGTATCTGCTCCAGGACTCTGAGCTGGGCCAGCGGAGCGGGATTTATAGTGTGTGTGTGTTTGTATTACTTGGCAAGCACCTGTCCCCTTGCATGGCTAATCTTGTGTAATCCCTTTATAAAGGCACTATAAACATTTGGCTTCCTCGGGGCTTTGTTTGCATTTCAGTGTAATTAGGATTTCCTCCAAATGAACTCGGAAGGGGCGAGGGGGAGGGGAGGCCTTTGAAGATGCTCCCTGGACCTGGCATGTGAGTGCTGCCTGTTTCTGCCGGAGCCGAGAGATGTTCCTATGATGGAAGGAGCAGCAGCCAAAATGAGAGCCCCGTGCGTCCTCTCTCTCTCTAGGGTTGCCAACTTTCTAATCACACAAAACCGAACATCCTTGCCCCGCCCCTTCTCTGAGGCCCCGCCCCCACTCACTCCATCCCCGTTCATCTGTTCTGCTCTCCCTCACACTCACTTGCTCGTTTTCACCAGGCTGGGGCAGGGGCTTGGTATGCGGGGGGGAAAGGGGGGTGCGGGCTCCAAGGTGGGGCTAGAAATGAGGAGTTCAGGGTGCAGGAGAGGGCTCTGAGCTGGGGCAGGGGGTTGGGCAGGCCCCTGCTGGGGGTGTAGGCTCTTGGATGGGGCCAGGGATGAGGGGATTGGAGTGCAGGAGTGGGCTCTGGGCTGGGGTTGAGTGATTCAGAATGTGGGAGGGGGATCCAGGCTGTAGCAGGGATTGGCATGTGGGAGGGGGTATGGGCTCTGGGCTGGTGGTGCGGGCTCCAGGGTGGAGCCAGAAATGAAGGCTTCAGGGTGCGGGAGGGGACTCCAGGCTGAGGTAGTGGAGTTGGGGTGCAGGAGGGGGGACTCGGGGCTGAGGTAGGAGGTTGGGGTGCGGGAAGGGGCTCAGGGCTGAGGTAGGGGGTTGGGGTACAGGAGGGGCCTCCGGGCTGAGGTAGGGGGT